GATCCCTGCTTGCCTCGCCACATAATGAAGCCAGCTGCCTGACAGATGTGCTGGGCAGCCCGTGTGTGAGGAAAGATGTTTCTCTTGAGGTCAGGTGAGATGCACAGTCATGAGGGAGGAACCCAGAGGGCAATCTCAAGGCCCCTCTCCTGCAGATAATGTCATGGTTCTTGTTTTGTGCTCTCTTATGCTACTTGAGGGATGCTCAATGAAGTGGGTGAGCAAGTTCATGGTATGTGAAAGTCCAGGAGAAGTCCTTACTTCATCAATGAGTGAGTTTTGTCCTGCCAAGTACCTGGTACCTCAGACCCTTTGAAGCTCCCGGCATTTATGTGACCACATTTTCATGAGCAGCTGATGGACATGGAGTTTAACTTTTTGCAGGGCTGAACCTTGTTGGTTATATCACTTGTAAGAAGTCTCAGCCACTCAGAAATCCTTCCAGAGGCAAACGCAGAACTTACAGGCCTGCACGTTTTTGGTAAGAATACAACAGGCACCATTGTCCAATTTTTCTGTCTTCTTTAGTTTGCTGTCTAGTTTGTGAATATCACTGCTTTATACTCCTGTTAGAAGTAAGAGAAGATCAAAATAAGAAGCAAAAGAAAACCAGATCTCTTGCAACAACAGGACTGAAATAAAGACGAGAAAGATGACAAGAGGAGAAAGCTCTGATCCATCAAAACATTCAATGCATGTGGCTACCTTTGCACAAGAAGTCCTTAGGGCACTGGATAATTTTTCATGATGGACACTTCACCAAGTACTTGGTTGAATTGTGTCTGTGAGAAGAGACAGAGAAATCAGAGGAAAATGTAAATCCAATATATATAGGACCAAAATACAGTGCTGCTTTCTTCTTGCCAGACTAGAGGCTGGATTTGTTTCTAGTCACTGGCACATAACATGCATTTTTCCTCTAGCTAGAAAAAAGTTAGGTTTAGGGTTGTTGATTTTTTTTATTACCTTGGGGTGAAAACACAACAACAACAGTGTGGGCTTGGATTACGGTTGGTGAACTCAAATCTTTTTTGCAGACCCCAAAATAGTTGGAGAGGTCAATGAAACCACAAACTCCAAGGGGCTCATCCATTTCTGAATGCAGCTTTCTGGAGCCAGAAGCAAACTGCCCCATTGCTTACCAAAGTGATAGTTATCTAATTTGTTACTAGAAAATGCTTCCAGGGAGGAAAAAAAACCAAAAACCAAGGCAACAAAACCCAACCCTGAACCCAGACCAAGAGAAGCCAGAGTCACTGGAGCCCTGTGCTAGCATCAGCAAATCAGTGTCCGTTTGCCCCCATCATGGCAATATCAGAAAGAACAAAGCCTTTCTAGGTCAAATTCTGCTCGCATTTTCACTGGCATAAACGATGCCTCTAAAGCTGAGGGAATTGTTGGCTGACTGACTGACCCGGTGGACTTCAGGCAAACTTCAGGTCTCCTTGACCTGATCCGAGCAGAGGAACTTGTCCCAGGCACACCGCTAAGACATACTAGCTGATTGTTTAACCAGATTGAGAAATAGCAAAATAGCCTTCCCTATGATTGTTTAACCAGATTGAGAAATAGCAAAATAGCCTTCACCATTTTTCACCTAGCTCAGATTTGATCAGAGATATAAAATAAAGTAAAAAGACATGAACACCCATTCTGGCTGAGTTTCCGAAATGTCATTCGCACAATGTTTACCTCAGGAAAAACGATCCCGCCGCTATCTTTGTACTTTATCTGTGGCACCCTGTCTCTTCGCATACTTACACTCACCATCACAGCTTCCAAGCATTCTCATCTAATTAATCAAAAACTCCATCCTTTTGTTTCCTAGGTCACGAAGGAAGAACAGTAAATTAAATAAAGATATCGGCTGCAAATGGAAGCTGGATTTCTACCCAAGGAACCTAATAATAGAGCCATGATGCAGACAAAGTCAAAATTGATATGGTTTTATGTACACAGAGGCAAACAGTTGAGTGTGAAGAAAGTAAACATCAGACAGCCTTCAAACAGCGGTTTATCCAGCTCATTCTGTGTTTGTAAATATAGAAGTGTGTTGTGGTGGCTAAATTTATCCTAATGTAAGGAAACATAAACAAAGAGGCTGGTATTTGGTAACTTCTATAGGCAACATTAGGACATCCTGCGTGAATTATTTTGGGGCAGTTCACGATAACATGGTACAGATTAGAGTTGCCATTTCTGGAAAAATTAGGTCAGAAATATGTAGATAAGATGGAAAGAATTTCAGTAGCATTGTAGTATTTTCCTGACTTGAAGCCTGACTCACACGTCGAAGCTTTGTTTTATTGTAGACCGTGTTTTGATATATAGTCAAAACAGCCTTTATCCAGAGAAAATAAAAATAAAGCAGCTGAGCAAGAAAGAATTACACACAGTGTTGAATAAAAATAAGTACAGCAAGCTTAATTTTGGAGAGAAATAGTTGTCTTTTCCTGTGAAACTTTTCGCATGTTCAGAGATGTCCATGCTGAACATCCAGGAAAAATCAGAGGAGGGAGATCCAATTAGGTAACAGCTCAGGAATGGGGCCTTTCCTTGCTCTCGATCTCAGCTGGAATTTCAGCCCTACGTCAGGTGTATTTTGGGACCATCAGAGTACGGCCACGCTGGAAAGAGGCAGCCCTCTTCTCTATATGCTTCCCTTCTTCCTTCTCAAATTTTTATCCTGGATTAGAACCTCTCACTTAGAAAGGAGATAGATCATGGGCATGAAAGGTTTACTTTTCAAGAGAAGAAGTGAGATTAGTTCTAGTCAGAAGAATGAGAGCCCTAACTCTGCAGCTTTGCCTCTGCAGTCAGCACAATGTTTCCATTGGCTTTAGGTAGAATATTTCTTCGCTCAGGTCGTTTATTACAAGTAAGAATGTACTTTTACACTGCTCTGTGTTCAGTGCCATAAATCCCAGCACATACCATGCCTCTCTTTTTTTCATCGGAGGTTCTGGCCTGAGTTATTGAATCTCTTCTGCTACGGAGCTTGCTTTGAGAAGGAGCAAGCCTCTGGGACAGACCCTGGTACTTGTATGTGAGCCAGCCTTAAGATAAAATGCTTCATGTTCCCTTTTGCTTATTCAGTGAGACAAACAGACTGTTAAATTCTGGTTTTTGGTCCAGCTCATTAATGCAAACCAGGGTAAGCTGCAGTTTATGCTCCTATGCCAGAAAGTAAATAGTGTGGGGTCAGAGGCAGGGGCACATCCCCTTCTGCCCCCACCACATGTGAACGGGCCCCTTGAGCAGGCTGGGCAACATGAAATGGCTTTGGCCACTCTTTCCAAAGCCTGCAAGCCCCTGGCCTCAGGACATCTACCCTTCCTTGTGCTCTTTGCACTGCCACTCTGCCTCAGTGCTCTGTGGGGCTCTTACTTTACCTTGCACGGCTCCAGGGACTGTGCCTTCCCCGAAAGGCAGTGGGTGCCCGTCACTCTGCAAAGCTGCAGATTAGCAAGCAGCAGGGTCAGTTTAGGGGGAAGGAAAGGAGGATGAAAGCCAGCTTTCAAGTCCAGGCATGAGCAGAATAAAACCCTAGAAGGAACAGGTTTATTTTTAAGGATGGTCTCTCAAGAATCCCTTAAGCAGCTGCCCAGGAATTTGGGCTCCTAAGGCCCACCCACAGCACCGTTTAGCCCAGACACCTAGAAAATTCAGAGAGCCAGCCTCAATAACATCACAGGTGCTGTTGTGGTGCTCCTTGGCTCCTGGCATCACTCCTCTCCTCCAGCTCTCTCCCGGGAAATAAAGCAGGAGCAGCTAGGATGGGGATGCTGATACATGGCCCCTTCCCTGGCAGAGGCCGCCCACACCACCCCCTCAATGGCTGGGTGAGAGACAGCACTTCAACTACTTGCTTATTTATTTTCCCTGCCAAAGGCAACCACCAGTAGGGTAAGAAATGGAAAGCCAGGGAGCATTAATGAGGTCTCTTCACACCTGACAGAAGTCACTGGTCCATGCGCATCCCAAGCAGTTAGCACCAGGGGTGCAGGGATCAAAGGGCGGCTCCAGGGGCCCCATCCTGCCCCGCAGGGGATCCTGGTGCCTTCCCACTGCCCCAGGCTCCTCTCCTGTCAGACCCTGGCCACCAGCACTGCCACCTCTCCACTGAATTACTGCCTCAAAACGTAGCAGAACAGCATGAAGAAAAAAAGGTATCGGCTTTATTTAGCCTTTTGGTGTTTGGGTGTGAAAAATGCTGCAAACAAACAAATATTGCCAAGAAATTCAGAACAATTTCAGAAAATTTTAATGGTGACTGCTGTCAGAGTTTGCAAGTGACACGCACCTTGTATTGTATCTGTTTGTAAAAGCCTGTTTTTTGAAAAATGAAACAAAACACAGTTTTATCCATGGACTAACTCTTGTGCTTTTGTTTTTTTTTTCTCCTATAGGACCGGAGATGATTAAATCTATTTATTTGCTTTAAGCATCTTTCCAGCTATAACCACACTAGGCCAATGTTTGGAGATGTGTGAACTTTGACTACAGGTCTGGCTCTTTACTGAGCTTGGGCCAAGCTCCACTGAGGTCTCCATCTTTAACTGTCCTGGACTGAGACTCTTTGGCATAGCATGGTAATGGCTAACATAATACAGCCTAGTCCAATATAGCATCCGATGTGCACATTTTGTCCTCTAGTTCATCTATATCTAACCCCTTATTGGCCATATTTTAATGGTACAGTAAATCCAACACTAGAATTTGTAATATTGGATGAAAAAGACACCAGCTACGGGAGAGCAGTGCTCCAGGATAAACTCATTTGGCCAATTCAGATTTCACTGTGAAGTTCTGATGAGCACGCTTGAAGCTAGAACTAGTATTATCTGTTGTCTCACATTTGGCATAACCTTTCTGTGTTGTGATCTGGCCAATATGATAGAAAGGCAATCACGTTGACACACTTCATCTAGGTCAGCTTTGTACATGGGACAATCTACCTCTGTGATCATGGAGCCATAGCTTAATGAAAAACAAGCCAATACAGTAATTAAAAATATTTATTTCTGAAGATATTTACCTTGATAGGCATAAAGCATTTCCCAATTTCATACAGAAATACATAAAACATGCATAGACCAATATGGCCTACTTCAATGTGTATTCAACATGGTAAATATAATGAAGAACTTGTGTGAATATAAATACAAAACAAAACAAAAAAAGCATGTAAGATTCAACCTGTCAGCAAATTCAACAATGTGAACAAATTCACTGCTATAAACATTCACCCAATATTAGCCTTTTGACATAATTCAAAACAACCCTTTGTCTCGATGTGTTTCCACCAAACAAGGCACTGAATAAATCCCACAACAGCTTCTGGTACATCCCCAGTTCAGTGCATTTTTGGTGGCATGTAAGACACAACAACCTCTATTATTAGAACTTCAGTTAGCCAAATATCCTTGTTATGGGAAACCCAGTAGTGTCCTCTAACTTCTATTTTATGTTGAAGTGTCCTTCGGCATCCAAAACCAAAGGACTCTGACTATGCAAACAACCACAGAGTCTAACCGCGTTCCAATAACTCTGGATGTACAAGTAAACCAGACTTCTGAAAAAAAGGCAAAGGGTTGCAGCTGATTAGTAAAGGCAATAAAAAGGTGTAAAAATATTCTAGCAGGAGTGCAACAAACAGTACGCGAGGTAGACGTATATATTTAGTTAAGTCCTGACTAAAGTAGCGCTGTGGCTTTCATTTTTGCTTTTTTAATCAAAAGGTAGAGCTTTTCACTTTGAAGTCTGTCCATTCAGATCTTGCTTTCTGTCCTTTCTAAGCACGTCTGTGAGGTCTTCCTTGCAAGATGCTTTTGACGTAGACCCTGAAAGCTGCTCAGTTGATGGGTAACATTCCAGAAGCAATAGTCAAATGTTTCTTCAGAAAGATGGCTTTTCACGTGCGTTACTGCGGATTCCCCTTCACCCCCTCTATCCATCCATCCATCTGAATTCCAAAATGATGAAATCCTTTGCTTTTATACCTCCAAATATGGGAATTCCCTAGAGTTTTGCTCAGCTGCACAAATACATGGACAGAGAGGCCCTTTGCCGTCGTGGAATGTTAGAAGTCAAGAGAGAGTTTTGGTGACGCTTTGTCAGCAAGTGTGACGGAGAAAGATTCGGGTGAACTTCCCACTAGGATGCTTTCAGGCTTTCCCAGATGCTTTGCCTTTTGTTCGCCCTGTTGTGTTTCAGCTTCCGCCCTTTCTGGAGCTCAGCCTTCAGCTTTGCAATACTGAAGGAAGCTTTGATACTGTTACCAATGGCTTCCAGCCTGCAAAAAAATAAGAAATAAACATTTATTGTTACAATAATGAAGATGCATCTCCACTGTGCAGACACTCAGTTTTTGATCAAATAAGCCTCAGTCTAGATTTCTGTCATGGGATCCTCAGTAACTGCTGATTGCTGTACCTCTGTCAGAAGTATGCCATCTTAAGCCACTTGAAATATTGGATTCCGAATTTAAATGCAAATATTAAAATAAATTAAAGTATTCACTCAAATATAGGTGCACTAGACTTCCTTAAACAGCGCGTACCCAATCAAGAGGTCTTCAGTGTTACAGCTCTTTTTGGCTGTTTTGTTTCTTTTAGGTTAACCTGATCCTGGTTCTAATGAATAGGGGATTTTTTCAAGTACGTATGCAAGCAAGCCCATTTTCTCAAATTATTTAAGACTTCCAGGGCCTAAATCTCACTCAAAATCATCAGGTTGCCGGCTCCCATAAATCCTGCTGTCCTGCTTTTGGAAATAGCACTAAGGAGTTGTCTCTTGTATGCTGCCTACTGCCCCTCAATTTATCATGCACAGGCCTCAAAAGGCAGTCCTGAAATTTACTCCTAATCTCAAATACTAAGTTGGGCTCAAATATTAATTTAGTCTTCATTTTCCCTTCCCTCAACCTTTTTGCAGTCATTCCCATCACTAACACCCTGTACTCATTTTACACAGGTTTATCAGGCAATGTAAGAGAGAAGACAGGTAGAAATCCACCTCCAGCACTCTAAAAAGCCAGCCACACCAGACAGAAGCAGCCATACATTCAAAGTCTGGGTGATCAATAATCTTTTTTTCCCCCTTCCAGTAAAATGAAGTAGCTAAGAAAAGGCATTCTAATTCAATTTCATATTAGAATAGTTGGGACATAATATTTTTCAGTAGTTAAGATAGTGCATGAACACACTAAAATGACAGGATCCACTTATTTCTGTCAGTATTTCATGATTTCCTACTCTTCTGAAGTTTGGCGTATCTTTAGGCCTACAGCAAAGCCTCCTTCCTCTAAGCAAATGGAGGATGCTGGGCAGGGCTCAGCAACCCTCTGCTAAAAACCCAGGGCATGAAGAAAAGCCCTCCAGGTATCCTCACTGATTCCCCTGCAACGCTCAAGCTGAAATCAGCAGCAAAGCTCACCCTGACCCGAAGGCAGGTGAACTGTGCTCTCTATTGCTGCTCCGGGGAACTACAACAGGATGAGAAGAAACTCACCGCTTCATCTTCTTGCTGTCCACAAGCTGTCGGTTCATGCATTTGGGCCCCATGCAATTGCCAGCTTTGTTGCGGTGCCGCGAGGTTTTTTCCACTGTGGACTGAGCCCTGTTAAAAGTGAAAAGGTGCTGCTGTTAAAAAAAAAACCCCAAGTCTGCAGTCCACAAGGTGAGGCAACTCATCAACCACTTCTCAAGGCATGCAGTGAGCGACCTTTCTGGGCCAAACCATAGTATGTATCATAGTAGTGTTAGCACTCTGCTAGGAGGCAAGGCTTTGGGGAGGTGATTCGCTCAGCAAGTGCCAAAATGAGTAAGTCTACCACAATCCATCCCTTTTACATGCACTGCCTTTTAAAGAGTAGCTACAATAGACGCACCAGAGATCTTTTCCTGTCTGGCAGAAGTTCAGACATTTCTTGTCCTTCTGGTTGGCACATTGGCATCTGCTGCTAGGTTCAGCAAGCATCTCTGGCACCATGTCCTTCAGTGATCTTCTGGATCGAGAAGGGCCTCCCAGACCATATGGAACAGTCTTCCTATGATCAAAGAGACAACATGAAAGTCATTCAAATAATTCTGTGGCTTCAAAACAGCGGGGTATTTTGGGTAATCTTATCAATGGGATTGATTGCATGAGTAAAGGTTGTGGGAATGGGAATGCCTTGTTGATCATAGTTTCCAAGCAAATGTTTCTGATGATCCTCCAACATACTCATTAGCATGGCTACTGACAAGGGTAATGACCTTTTAATTGTGATTTCATAAGGCTGCTATGCCACCCTGCGCAATAGAAAGCAGTAAAACCTCATCTCTTTGAACTTTGGTAACTGCCAAGACTGAAAGAAGCAATAAAAGTGAGGAACAGAACCTCTGTGCTCAGAGGAACCCCAGCAGCAGAGCAAATCACCGGAGTCGGTGCTCGCAGTGCTAGGTGAGGCTCTGCCTCACTACTTTTTTTATGAGGACAGCATAGAAATGGACCCTATGCATAAATGTACTAACACGTGGGATGCATGAATTTGCAGCGAAGAGCAGCAAGAGGTGGCGAGGAGCCACCCTGTGCTAAAGTAAGGCTTCTAGGCTCCTAACTTGTCAGAAAGCAAAAAACAGTCAGACAAATTCAGGCTGGCAAAATCATACTTTTGGCATTTTGTCTGCTTCTGATTCATAGGGAAAAGTATCCCGCAGCCTTTTGCTTCCCGCAGCACCTAAAGGAAATACTCCTGCCCAGATTTTTGGAATGCAGGTGTGTTGGGGCTATTACGAGCTATCTGCTCCATCTCAGCGGTCAAATTCTGCTTGCTTTCTCTCCCAGCGAACAGCCTCGCTGCTAAACTCGGCAGAAAAGCGGGAGCTGGGGGGAAAGGTATAGCAGACACCGTGCAAATAACTATTCCTTCCTCTCCTGCACTTTTCCGCAGGTGGGTTTGTGGCTTTTCTTTTTTTCTTCCCTCCTCCCCACTTTTTCCATGCAGAGCAGAACCCAGACCCCCCCCAACCCCACCATCCCGGTCCCCTCACTCACTCGGGGGTGTTGATCCAGATGATGTCGAGGTGGCAGAAGTAGACGCACTCCTCATCCATCAGCGAGGAGCAGGAGCAGCGCCGGGCTCGACGGTGCCCGGCGGCGGCGGCGGCGGGAGGGGACGGCGCGGCTCCCACCTCGGCTCCGGGGGCTGCGGGAAGGAGCGGGTAGAGCTCAGCACCCGCGGAAACCACGCACTCCGCGCATCTCCCGCCGCATCCCTCCCTCCGGGGGTGCCCGGCCGCCAGCTCCCCCCGGACCCAGGCGACGGCGAGCGGCTGGGGACCGGCACCTACCTGCCGGTAGCAGCCCCGGGCAGAAGACGAAGAGCAGCGAGACGATCATCTGGGAATAATCCATAGCAGGCAGAGCGGAGAGCGGACGGGACAAAAAAAATAAAATAAAATAAAAAGGGATGGATTAAAAAAAATAAAAGAAAAAAAGGGGAAAAATTAATAAAAGAGAAAAAAAGGGGGAAAGTCTCTCTGAGCGTCGGGACGGAGAGCCGTGTCCAGTTCCCGGCAGGGGCAAGCTGCGGCTCGGTGCGCCCCGGCGCGTCTGGCTGGCGCGGCGGTCCCCGGCGGCCTTTTATAGCGAACCCCCATGGAGCGGGTAAACAGCCCCGGCGCTATTTTATCCCGAGACAATGTTATTCTGCTATTAGTCACCGGCGCGGCAACGTGCGGGCCGAGATAAGGCCGGGCTGGAAAGGAAATCGCCTGCGAACTTCAGAGCGGCGGCGGCGGCGGCGGCGGCGGGC